TCATCCCTCACCTCACACGTGCATGCTCAAAGGAGTATATCTTCCATGAGAATCCCTCAGTCTTTAGCACTGGAGCTAAAACCCAGTTCTATGTGCTACTCTTTCGCGATCTTTTGGCCTAGCATAGCCGCAGTCCCGACCGGAGAGATGCTGCGTGTAATTACTTGCTCCCCCAGATTTTTCGACGCCATCCGACGGTGACGCAGTTGAGGAAATGAAGTTTCTCTCAGCCGCAAACTTGTAATTGGGAGTGGGGGTGAGGGGACGTCAAGCCGAAAAGACACGAAAAGCGTCAACGTCTCCTTTTCATTCTCCAGGCGTCGGATGTGTAGTTGCCGGCTTTTCCCCACGCCGAATCTCTCGTCCTCCGCGTTCGGTTTTATCCCGTTATATTTGTTTTTGTTTCTGTAGATTGATTGGAGGAGGGTGTTAATAATAAAGTCGCGTGAAGAAGCGGTAGCTCCAGGTGGGGATGCGGCAGGTAGCCAACGACGGGTACCGTCATCTGCGAGTCATCTCAAGAAGGATCATCTCAAGATTAGTCCTCATGGCTCACACCTGCCCCGCCCCCCAAGGGGAGGAGGTCAAAGGGCATGGGAGGTGGAGGTGGTTTCGAATCTCCACTTCCTCTTCACGCACAGGCTGCTTCTCCATCCCGGTAACCAAGCGCTAAACTGTTAGCTCTTTATAGGCGCTGGAGCATGCCAGGCGCTCTGCTGCAGGCCGCCCCGCCACCGCCGCCGCCGCAGCCGCCGCTCGCCTCCCTGACCATATTTAGTCAACCCCTGCAAAAAATAGTCCCCCCAGCTGTCGGAGGGCCATGGGCTCTGGGACGCTTCAGTCCTCCCCTCTGCTCGCCATTTTTTTTTTTTTATAATTCTTTTACACCCCTTTTTCCCCCCCCCCTCCTCCGTGGCTCACCTCACTGCCTTCGGAGCTATTTATAGATCCACCAAATAAAGTGGTCTCTCATGTTTCCACTTATATTTCCCTGATTCTTCTCTCCTCCCATCTCTCTCTCTCTGTGCTTGCTT